ATAAAAATAGTTCGCGCCTTTCACAATATTCCGTCGGCTGGGGAAAAGACATCTAAAACAGCCAATGCCAACCTATTTAGATAATCTGAGATTGTGCGGATGCCATTTGGTTTTCGGAAAAATGCACAAACCTTTAGAAAGTTTATAGAAAAGTTGTCGTAGGGATAACCGTGTACCATAGGATGCCTAAATGACCTACACATCGCTTGTCCTGTCTCATCAGCTTGTATCCACTCCATCTTCATCTCCTTCAGCATATATCTTGGACAATAGGTTCTTGATTTGTTCGCAACTAGACTCTATCGTAACTCAGCTTCTATATCCGAGCATCTGATCTTAAGTGCGAGCAAGTCAGCTGTCGGTGAAAGTCGGAAGTCTATTGGAAATGCCATTGGTGACGGGTGCTTCAAGTCGCAGTGATTCTGCCGGTTGGACTTATATATCATGTTCTGTTGAATTTTTGCTTGGAAATTTTTTTGCCATTAATTTTTAATAATTCTCCAGGTTTAATTTGCTCTTCGAAAACTTTGCTAATATCAACTCTGATCGTATTTTCCTCACCAGATTGACTCGTAGATTGCTGCATGCTGTAAACATGAATGTGACAGACATTTTTTTCCAGATTTCTACATGTTAAGTAAGCAACTGAGCCAGCAACAATAACGGCAACCAACGAATGAACTGGAAACAACTGCTTCTGCCAACCAAACACGTTCATGTGCATAATTTCCAAAACTCCTACACAGCACTAATTCATTAATAGTGGAAAAACAACTAAAACCCTGAAACCATGCATGAATGCAACGTATGTAACAATTACAATGAAATGAATGCACTGACCTGGTGATAAAAACTTTCGAAACAAACGAAATAACTGATTTTGACAGAAACGGAAACAATAATGAAGTGAAACGCAACATTTGTGAACAATGTGAATGCTGATCAGTAGATATGGTGGTGGACACTAAGGTGAATCGCCCCATTCTGCAGGAACAGCAATATGCAATTTGACGGCTCGAGATTTCTATGAGGGCTTGAATCGTTATCTTGAATAAGATAATAATGATCGCCTGGACAGATCATGCTTCTACCTTTGAACATATACCATTCGGTCAGCCTATTGCTGAGATGCGACCACCTGGGCTCTGCACAGATTTATGGGGCATCTTACAAATTACCATGCTTTCTTTTGTCGTATCTTCGAACATCACTTAACAATGTCTCATCTCATTCATTTTCTAATAACGTCTCCACTTGCTCATTATATTCCATTAATCCTAACATTTTATAGCTCATTATGAATTTGATTCGACTTATTCTATTCCTATTCTCTATAGAGTACGGTTGTGCACCAAATACACAAAAAGGTATGAAATAAAAACAACCGGCTTGTAGATAATTGTATTAAACCAAAAGTGGACATCATGATAGTAAGACCTATATGGGTAGCATTTTACATTGCAAATGAACTTTGTCAGCCCAGGGATTATAGTCCTCACGGTATTTCCTTTATGAATGCATCTATTAATGATACATTGCACTTACCTATTTCATTGCACTTTAATGATTCACCTTAGCACCTTTACTTTTCTAAAACAGCTTACTATCCCTTGTAAACGTTATACTTACCTCAATATTGGTTGGTTATCGTATGCCTACAACTACGGGTTGAAAACGAAACGAAGTCGATTTTCCCGCGCAACCTGGAGGACTACTGTTTAATTCAATAATGATACGACATGGGTCAGACAAAGAGTGTATTTATACATATATCAAATATTTAGCTGTTCAAACATTACTAACTTGTAGACAATCTACTATTTGACATTGAATCATACTTGATCGTGCCTGTAAAAATGGCATGCATTTTCGTGTAAATTTATGTTTATATGAAAATATACATTATTATTATTAAAGATAAGCTGTGAATAACTGCTGGATAAACGAAAAAATCAATGTGTAAACAAACAGCTACGGAACTGCAATCCAACATGGCCGACTAGCATGGACGAAAATGACCTTTGAGCGTATCACTCCACCAATGACCTTGTACGTGGCGGATAATTTTAGTCATTCTGCCTAGATTATTGAAAGTGTCTTCTCTTTCATTTCTCCTGTTTAAGATGATTTGTGCTCCTTGATGTCAGTTGGGTATCTACACTATATCTTTCTTGTCAATTCTTATTCGAAGGCCTGTCTTCTCCGCTCCTTCCGACAACCAGTTGGTTTTCCCTTGTAGATCTTCGAGTTTGTATGTTGTAAGACGTAAATCATCCTTGAAGTCCACATCTTTCAGTTCCTTTCCATCGGTCCAACTAATGCGCGTCTTCCTGCACGACACGCATGGCCTGGCACATGATCCAGTCCACCACGATGATAAAAATTGCCGGTGGTGTTATGCAGCTCATTCCTAATACTGTCTCCATTCCGATGGCTCCACTGAGCTTTCATCGGTGAATCACTTGACACGCAGCGTCATCATATAGCTGTCACGTGGGGTACATAAAAATTTGGTGCACTTCAGTCCGTATTATCAAGACAGCTTCCAAATTACTTCACGGTCAACTCCATCTAAGACCCCAAAGTCGATGAAAGTGAGTGCTGTTCCTTCTGTATGGATGCTAGTTTGTCTACACATGATATTTTCTTTGAATTCAGTTCATTCCGTCCGAGTTTTGCATCTGGGGCATCTTTTATTATCTCCAGGACAATGTGACTTAATATTTTGCTTGGAGTGAACAGGAGCATTATTCCCTTCCCATTTTTGGCAGTTTAACAAGGCAGTTCTTATTTCATTCGCTGGTCATTACCTTTTCATCCATCCAACCCTGTTGAGATAGTGGAGTAATTACGTGTTCTAAGTCCCCTGGATCCATTTTAAGTCCTTCTGGCGCACTATATTCTCAGCTTCCAGTAACTTCACAACACTGCAGGGTTCTACTTTTGTCGGAGGATTGGTGTTCATCGGAAGTTCTTTTGCTGCTGTGATATTTCTGGACGGGTTACAAGTGATAGTCGGTTCAACAGTCTTTTGAAGTGTTGGTCTTATTGTTTCCTTTGTTTGTTCTCTTTGTTTATTAGGTTTTCTTCTGTATGTTTCATCGGTTTCACCTAAGCTGATCGCTTCCCCGGTAACGGCCTGGTTCTCTGATTTAGTTTTACAAGATGTCTCTTACCTATGGCTTGTCCTGCTTTAGTTTCTAGGGTGTTGAAAAATTGTCGTACACTCTTTTTTGCTCACTTGCCCAGTGTTTTAAAGATTGTATTCAGCTTCTTTCACTTTTGGTCTACCGTTTTACCAAATGTCTAATTTCTCTTAGGTTTCATGTATACAGAGAGAGGGTCATTCTTTAGCTCGCCTCTTCCTTCTACCTGAGGTGACTACAAGGGTTTTCTTTCAGTACCACTTTCAGAGAGTTCTAGTGTTTTCCCACGTGTTTCTTCGGTGGTGTTGCTTAGTGTTTCCGACTTTTCCTCGATGGCTATAATGTACAAGTCAACTTTAGTTTCACTCTCCATTTCTGAGTGTTGAATTCTAATTGTGGTTTGTCAGCAGCCGCTTTGAAGGTTTTTCACCTGATCTTCAGACCAAATTGTAGTTTCGACGGATATGATGGTGGGGGCTTAAGAGAACCACCCTTATCTGTGGGAATGCGCTCTATTGCTAAGGCTCCTGAGTTTGAATAACTTCAACAAAAAGAAAGTGAATTGATGCCTGTATGCCACAGCTTGTGTATAAACTCTCTGAAAACAAGCTTATGGTACGACTTCTCTACTTCAGTAGGACATCTAACTGTATAAATCAGAATAACAGCATAAATAAGTATTATCATGCTTTTTTTCTCTCTTCTACATATTTTATGTACTTTGGGATTTGGATTTAACTCCTTCAATTTCTATTCCCATTACCCTATATAGGTGTGAAAATCATCATTCGTTTTGCCCTAATATTTTTTATTTTATTATTCTATATTCTTTTTGTTGTTGTTTAATACCATAAACTTGAACTAACTGTAAGTATGTAACACTATAAAACTCAATTACTCTAAAGTCTTAGTAACAAAAAAGGGGAATAAACTCTGCGGTTATCGCATTTTGTTTGCTTAAATTATTATTATTTGCTGACTGACTCTGTACCTCTCTTTCTGTTTTCTTTTTCTTCTCTTCTCGAAGGTATCGCATTGAAGCACTGCAAATGAACAGTAATGCTGCTTTCTACGTTTGTATTACTTGAGAGTTATTCAGAATATTGTTGACACATACGATGAACAACGGAACAAATTCCATTCTGAATTCTGTTTATCATCGCAAAGTCGGTCCCCTGTGTCTGTTAATACCAAAATAATGCTGTACTTACCCTCTACTGTGGAGTTTTATACATTTTTGAACCCTTATTAATTGATAAAATGATAATGATCACAAGGCCTGTATCTTGTGTGTCTTACTCTAGCACCTGTGTACCACCTCTCTTCTTACCTTCCATTAACGCAACATTTCGTAATTCCTGCATGAATTTGACTGACTATAAGTATGTTATAGATTATAATTTAGACTTGAACCAATATATTGTAATCTATTCTAATAAAGTTTCTAGAGGTTTTTTCCCATCTTTCCAATTTTTAATGTCATAAAACAGTGTTCCATTTCAAATTGCACTTGTCAAATATGATCATGCCCGTACAAACGGTATGTCAATCACGTAAATGCTTAATTTATGTGAAATATATATGCATTATTATCTCCGACGTTTATTGTTTTGCATCCACCAGCCTTTATTCCTAATGTGGTCAGATTGCAGTGAAGTCTATCTGTCCATTTTGCTGTCATTACCCTGCTGGAGATCGATCAGCACTAGATGATAGTCTTCAGTGCCATTAATGACATCATGATAGCCACTCCCTGAAGTGTACTCGTCGTTATGGTCTGAGTGATTGGAGTAGATAATTGACTGTGCATTTAAAAATTTACACAGTCCACTTCCACTCCGTCTACTTTCACACCTTCCTGGCATTTCTGTACCATATCTTCTCATTTACTCTGCAGTCTATGCAACCTTCCCAGCCTCAAAGATTAGTAAGGTAATCCATGTCGTCGAGGTTATTTCACTCATTACAAGACACATCGGCTTACTGGCTTCCCGAAGTATATGACCAGCCTGTGTCATTTTCTCTCTCCGATCTCAGAAGAATATAACTTTATTTTAATGTTTTTGCTGTACTTTAGAGTTTCTGTAGCAACTGGATTGATTTTTCGCGGTCGGATCGCTAGCCTTACACCCAACCTTCCAGGTTCTACGAGGCTTGGGACCAGCTAGTAAACTAGTGGAATGAGTAAGGTTATAGACTTCATTAATGTAAATATATATGCAATATATAATAATATCCTCGCCCAGTGTTTCCTATATGAGTCATTATGCATCAGAGGAAAGTTGTATAATAAACAATGAACGAATACAAAGGGATGCTATACTTGTGGAGTGCGTAACAATGTGATTGTACTCTTTTTGGTTATTTGTAGAAATTAGACATATTGTACATAATTTTTGTTTAAAACGCTTCTTGTTGAAATACCCTTGGCTTCCGTGTACATTTTGGAAAATACGAGTGAGGCTATGTTCTATGATAAGGTGTTTTCGCGCATTGCATGGGTTATCGCGTTCACGCCTATAGAGACGTTCTAACCGCTCAGTATTGTGAAAATAGGTTCTATTTGACTAGTTTTAAGCTTTTGTAGCCGAAAAATGCAATATTTTTGTGTATTGTGTTCGTAGTAATGCGTAAAATTGTCATGACAGCCTAGACGAATTACTAATAAAAAAGTCATCATTTTGAAGAAATATCGCATAAAAAGTCCATTATTAGGGTTTCAGAGCATTTAGGCATTGTTTTTTGTGAGTTGTTTCAGATCTTAAGGTTGTAAATTGACTGCAGGCAATGGCTGTTGTCATCCCAGTTATTCTATGAGAATGGTGCATTTGAAAGAGAAATAGCCTAGAGACATAAGTTAGATGTGTGTTTTGAGGATGTCAGACACTTCTTTTATCATCTGTGATGGCTGAAATATTCCATAGCACATGGGAGAGATCATGCAATGAATGAGACAGGCTGCTGCATTTCCTGGTGATTATAACTACTTTGATGAAGTTCCCATTTAAAATTGCTTAGGCGAAGATATGATACTACTTTAATTGACATTTGCACTTGGAATGTCAGAAGGCTTTAATTGTTCATTGTCAAAAATGGCATCAGATTATGTGTATATCAGTGTGCATGGGGTTACGAAGAATAGTGCAGATGGTCCTCCTGAAATGTCAGACTACTTAAAATTAGTATCAATTTTCTGTTGATTAGTAGCTAGCAGGTGTGTCCTACAACTACTGCACCTGTTACATAAGTTATCCCAGTCTTAACAATCGTTCGTGTTCAGATCACTAAGATATTCTGAGTTCCTTAATGAATTACTTCTGGCTATGAAGGAAATGGAAGATGCACTTATGGCTCATATGTTTAAATCATTTATTATGAAAGAAGTTATCTATAGGGATTTTGTGATGTTCAGGTTACAATGCTTGAGTGTATGTAGTGACTGCATGCTTCTGTGCGTGAAGGAAAAGTTGGTTAAAGTGAAGATGTGATGAAGTTTTCTGTACAGTGTTCATTGTGAATGGTTTACTAGTTAACACTTATTATTTGCTTGCTGCTATACTGTATTAGACGAACAATCTCTGTGTGACATTAAAAAATACAGAAGAATGCTGTCATCACCAAAGAATGAAAAAGGAAAATGAACCTTTTTCAGTAAAGGTATGGAAATTTAAAGCGTTTAACTTTAACATTACTTCTTCCTTACTTCAGCGATTTAAAAACATACACTTTCTTCACTTATTTACAGATATCCGGTAATGTCAGTCAACTTGGTCACAGCAATTCAACATGGGCGAAATAATTACGAAAAACAATTGTGTAAAGACATTTGCTTATTTTTTTCATTAAATAGATTTAACATCCTGCTTACAATACTTTTCTTATTCTATCTGAGTGAAACTAAGTTTTTTTGCATGAAAAGATGCAGATGTCAGACTTATCAATGATACTTGATGATTTATTTGACTGCATAATTAAACGTAAGCGGAATGTTACTACGACTACTACAGCTCAACCTACTTATTTATTCGTTATGTGTAAACTTAATTTTACAGTATACGTCAACACCCGTTATCACAGGGACTGCTATAACGCTTTAATTTAAATATTAGTAATACACTGATTTGGAATACACCTAACCGTATACGAACTGGAACTGCAATGCAGTGCCTAAGTTCTACCTATTGTTGTCATTGTTCCATACAGACTTGCGTATGACTATGAGACGTTTTCACGTAACTGTTGACAGAGACTTAAGGGCCACTAAACTACTTATAATTCACCACGCATATCGGTCGATAGTGTTCCTACAGAATTACACTTAAGTATAGTAACGAGTTCAAGTCCTAGGGAGCACCGGTCTAGCATGCCGTGCTCACAAAGCGAATACATGAATTGAAAGACAACAAGATTTATATGAAAAGTTCATATTTATTATAATACAACATTAGTTTGTTTACATATTAAGAAAATGGTCCATTTGTGCGATTACTTCTCCCGCTTTCGGATGCGCACAAGTTACGAGACCATGTCCATCGTTGACACTTAGGCAGCACATTATTAACTACAAAAGGTGGAAGAGTAAACAAAAATAGAATTATGCACACAATATTACAGGATAAATAATGCTCCCACTCGCATTGGCTACCTGAAATAAACTAAAAAGGCTTTGTCAATTAGTGTCCATCTGTCTCACGACTGATTCAATATAATTCCGTAGAAAAAGCCACATTGAAATACATCACTGAGCAATATCCACCGATAAAATGCTGCACGTATAACCTAAAATCGAGAAAAGCCAAAGAACTCACGGGTTCCTTGACATCGCCAGCAACCGATAGGCCAACAAACCGAGTGTATGATAAGCCAAGCCTTGTACATGCACAAATAAGTAAAAGAAAACGTTAGAATACTCAAATTTTACATTTATTTTCATCAAATATGCTTGTAAACAACGCATACCTCAAGCACACAAACCTGCAACGACATCACCTAACAAGGACAAATCAAATATCAAATTAGCCACCACTGTTCCAGCCAATGAAAGACGAGAAAACCTGAGGCGCGGAAAAATTAACACGTCATAGAACACATCCTCACCCGAAAATACACTCTGCTGTTGGAGACTTCGTCTTCTCCTTGGTTTCTTCGGCTTACTAGCTCAGCTCTCACCGTGTTGTATCTTTCGGATTTATTGTAGAAATCCACTACGCTCAACCGAAGACAATTATACAACCGGGACACAGCAGCTACAACCTACTCCGTCTAAACAATTAACGTCTCCGTGGGATATTTAATAATTTGTAGCAGAGGACTTAAACCTTATTTCCAAGTAACCCTTTTGTTGATACAACGTGTCATTACATTTTTGGTAATATACTGCTACTTAACATTCCATTGACTTGAATTTTATTTCTCATATTTCGTAATACTAGTGAACTCTAACATAAGTCCCCTACAAATTAATTGGTGAGCCCGTTTTGGAACACGGATTATTTTCACGTATCTATATACTTATTTTTGCTATTTTGTACTTTCATTGCAATTTTTTGTTGGTGGTTTCATATTTGTATTCCCCTTTGTATCAATATTCTCACACCTATAATGTCGTCACCAATACTCGCCGCCGTTGCAGACTTAGCGGCAAGGCTTGACAAGTTGGAAACACCTAGATCTGATCGACGAGTCGAGAGGCGGAGTTCACAAGCACGGTCACAATCACATAGACGATCTCACTCCCGACAGCGTTCCCGCATGTCTTCTAGGGACAGCAATATATGTTGGTATCATAGGAAGTTTGGACGTCATGCCCTGAAATATGTCATACCAGCATATAGTCTGTTGTAAGCTATATTTACGCATATTGCGTGAGTGGCTACGCTGTCTTCTGTACGTTGTGGTAGGTTGTCTATTAACCCTCATTGTCATTAATTGCTCGGTGAGCACGTCGATTTTACGTTCTAAGGCTTCTATGCGTTCGTTTGACGTTTTGTCGACTACAGATGTTACTTGTGGAGATATCCGTTCATACATTTTGTCAGCGATTTCTGCCAACTTGTCAATATCTATGTCTTCATGTCCAAATGCTAATACTTTCTGAATGTTGTGGGGTAATCGTCTTAGCCACAATTGATAGAAAAACCTGGCGTCTACCTTCCGATCTCCTAAAATGTTACACATATGGCTTTTGAGTTGAGAAGGTGTTCTATCGCCCAGGCTAACATTGCTGAGTAGCTGATCGATAGCTTTCTGATCTGATAATGAAGCAACTTTAATAACCTTCTGCTTTAAAACATCGTATGGAGTTTCTGGATGTATGAGCGTCTCTCGTACTTGCTCTGCTATATGGTCAGGTAATATGGAGCTTGCAAGGCCAAATTTTGTAGTCTGAGAAGTGACGTGGTTAGCTAGGAAGTAGTGTTCCAGGCGAGTGAACCACAAATATGGGTCGTTAGGTTTAAAAGGTGGTATGGATATGGTAACTGCAGCCACAGACCTTGTACTCAAAGTGTCGTTGTCAGTATTAAATGACATCATAAAAGTGCAGAAAAGAATATATATAGGTGATAGAAAAATTACAAAAAGTGAGCAAAAACAGAACAGAATATAGGTAAGTTCAAAAATGTCCAAAAATAGTCAGCTTACCGGAGGTACTTTAAGCAAAAATATCACTAAATATATATCCAAATGTAATGCAGTTATAGAAAGTTAATACGATAGCGAAGATGATTAAATCCACTGTGTGAATACTTCGAAATGATGTAGTCGATCGATCAGCTATGTCGGGCTCACCAATTGTTGTGCTGCTATATTTTGACTAAACTAGCGTATACGTATATCCTAATACTTCTTCGCGTTTAT